AGACAGACAGACAGACAGAGAGACCCACACAGTGACAGAGACAGACAGATGCTTTTTCTGCCTTTCTGTTCTGCCTGAGCCATGAGCCAGTTAGAAAATGCCTGCTCACACTGGGTGAGAATGGATCTTCCTTATTCCGTTTACTGATTCAAATACCAATTTCTTCTGGAAATGTTCTCACAGACATAACCCAGAAATAATGTTCTTCCAGATCTTTGGCTATCTCTTAATCCCATAAAATTGGTAATTAAAATTATATATTACAGCAATATTTGTAAGAACTATGGAACACATGTAACAGATTATTTTAAGATTGTATAAACAATAACGTTGAAAACACACCCTTCTAAAAAATTTGCACTGTTTGGATTTCTTCTAAAGTGGGATTCTCTTTCATATTGATTATTTCTCTTTCTTTTATGAGTTGACATATTCTTAGTCCTTCCCTCCCTCTTTGAGAGTTGATATAGCTGTTTTCTTCAGCTTTTTATTGTGGAAAATATCAAGTACCTATAAAAATAGAGACTTTTATGATGATCTCAGTGACTTTACTGTCAAACTTTTAAAATTTTTTTATTTTTAGGGAAGGGTCTACAGGGCGTTCAGGGTCTCACAACTAGATTGGACTCATAGTGATCCACCTGTTTACAGCCTCCCAAGAGCTGAGATTACAGGCGTGCGCCACCACACCCAGTCTCTGGGGATGAGGCTGGCATGTCAGGCCCAGGGATTGAACCCTTGGCCCTTGCACCTTTTTTTTTTTTTTTTTTTTGACAAGAAACAGCTATTTATTGTTCAACAGGCTTGAGCTGAGAGGGAGAATACATTTCTTAGAGTAGATAACAGGAAGCACAAGGGTTTTTAAAAATAATTTCCCACAGTTAAGGCACAAAATTCTGTTAACCCTTTACATATTTATGTTCCTCAAAGGAAAATGTGATAGAAGAGTTCTTCTCCACTATTGAAGTAGTTCCCAGAAATTTAGCTAGAAACGCTAGCCTGAGAGGTGCCATTATATTCCATGTGCAATAATTTCTTTTTTTAAAAATTTATTGAGAAACAAATAGCAATGAGACAGTTTCAAAACCAATTACTAGCACAGTTTCAACAATTAATACATTGCATATTATTGTCTTAGTGGTTATTCATTTTACAAGATGCAGACATGATATCCTGTCCACAGACGCTATTAGAACCAATCTTTCTAGTCATTGAATTAAGAGAAAGTAGCTGTATATCTATCCTAACTATTTTGAATATATAGATACAAAATGGTCCTTCATTTGTATCCTTTTTTGTTTAGTATTGTTAAAGAAGGGTATTCCATTGTCAGTTAAATATTGTAGGCCCTGCACCGTCTTGCAGGTTTTTTAATCTGCTGAGCTATTTGGCCAGTCCCTACTGCCCAACTTTAACAACCTTGTTTCCTGTATTCTTCTCCCAATATCTTCCCAAATATCATATCAGTACATCTATAGATATTTGTCTATGTATCTATAAAGCATATGAGCCTTTCCAAAATAACCACTGTACCACATCATACCCAACAGAAGCCAGTATGATTTTCTAAATATTACCAGATACTTCTAATTCTAATATTATCTAATTTCTTTTTTTCTCCCACACCCAGTCCTTTCTAGAAAAAGTGTATATATATATTTGTCTCTTTGAAACTTTTTTTTTTTTCTGTAGTATGAGGGATTGAACTCAGGACCTTGCACTTGCCAGGCAAGTGCTTATTCTACTGAACTATCTCCTCTCCCGGGCCCTATTTGTTTCTTTTAATCTACAGTTTCCATTTCCATTTTCTTCTTTTCTTCCTTCCCTCCCCTTCTCCCTATATTTCTGTTGTTGCTGGAAAAAATCAGTTTGTCTCTCCCTTATCTGGAGTTTGCTGATTGTTTATTATGCTGGTGTTTAATGCACATGTGTGTTCCTTTCCCCCCTGAACCATCTATAACCATTTGTTGTTAGAGCTAAATATTTGATCAGATTCAGTTTTTTTTTTTTTCTTCCTTCAAGACTCTTTACAGGTGATGCTGTGGATTTCCATTAGGGGGCACGGGATATCCTGTTCTCCTCATGGTGTTGAGGATGGTATCAGTGACAGACATTGCTGATCAGAGTGAAATACATCTATAGATTAGGGATTTCAAAAATTATATTCTAAAGCTGTCATTCCCTTAATCTTAACTAGCTGAAAACTTACAGTTCATATAGGTAAGGTAGGGCTTCTTTTTTTATTTTTTTCAAAAATAACATTAGTTTTTAAACATCCTCAATATGACACCACATAGTTAAATGTATTTATTTGTTTGCATCCTTTATATTTATTATTTTTTATCTTTAATTTATTTATGTATTTGATACAGGGTCTCACTACACAGCTTGGACTTATAGTTATCCTCCTATCTCAGTCTCTCCAGTGCTGGATTATGGTATGTGCCACCATGCCTGGTTTCCACGGCCAGCATGGTGGGGGGGACAGCACAGCATGCAGTACTGGGGATTGAACCTGGGTCTTTGCACTTGCCAGGCAGGAGCTTAGACCACTGGGCTATCTCCTTGACCCCCTTTATAGTTATTTTTGTTGGTATGAGATTATTCTGTATTGACCAATTTGCTGAGGAGATGGCTCAGTGGAATAAGCACTTCCCTGGCAAGTGCAAGGGCCTGAGTTCAACCTCCGGTTCTGCCCCCACTCCCCCCAAAAATAGGTGCCTCTTCAAGTTGCTTTCTGGACTCTTCAGCATGTCCTTAGTAGTCTGATAGCTTCTTTGTCGTTTGGAATGGAGTCTCTTCCAAGCTCATCTCATTCATTTATTTTTTGTCCTAAACTGAAAGTTAATAATTTATCTGGGGAATCCTTGCTCCTCTTAGAAGGAAATTGTATTT